TTACTATAATCCTTTAAAAAAAGCTTGGTCCATTTTGAAAGATCAACAATAAATTTTGAAAAATCAAAGGAAAAGGAAAATAAGTTTTCTCCCCTAGGATACATAAGAACTACTTGCTGGATTTGTTTTGCCTGAATAAAATGGGCCAAATTTTCAAAGGCAGTTAATAACAGCATGTACAGGGCTTGTTTCATTTGATTTAGCACCAAGTAAGAGTATCCTATGGAAGACATAGGTTTCTCTTCTATCTCTCAAATTGCCCCACTTCTCTTCCAGGTCACAGTACATTAGCATGCGTCCTTGTTGCCTTACTAAGGAATTGAAAATGATTTATAGTTATAAATGGCTGCTCACATGACACTTGCCAGCAGAGTTCTTTCTCCCTAGACAGGGTGACAGTAAAAGTAGCCAGATACCAATTCTTTGCGAATAAAGAACTCCTTCAGGAAACTCATTACTCTCCTGTCCGTCCTTGTTACCCTATCATATACATTCTTTTTATTGCTACATCTCCCTTTTTTTTTTTGGACAATGCTTCTTATATAATTTAATATATCAAATAGGCTTGATTAGCTTAATATTTCTCTTTATAAGGTGAGAGACACATCCTTAGAAGTTTTCCAGGTGTGCAAATGGAAAATCTCAAAGTTAATTTGAGGTTAAAAAAAGGCTCAATTTGGAATTTTATTTTGAAAAGTTTGTTTAAAAATGTCAAAAGGTTTAAAAATACTGGTTAAGGTGCGGCAGCGAGACAGGCTGGGAAGATGCCAGTGGCGGTGATGGCGGAAACTGCCTTCAGTTTCAAAAAGTTGCTGGATTAGTGCGAGAACCAGGAGCTCGAGGCTCCCGGAGGAATTGCTACACCCCCAGTGTATGGTCAGCTTCTGGCTTTATATTTGCTCCATAATGACATGAATAATGCAAGATATCTTTGGAAAAGAATACCGCCTGCTATAAAATCTGCAAATTCTGAACTTGGAGGAATTTGGTCCGTAGGACAAAGAATCTGGCAGAGAGATTTCCCTGGGATCTATACGACCATCAATGCTCACCTGTGGTCTGAGACAGTCCAGCCGATCATGGAAGCACTTAGAGATGCAACAAGGAGACGAGGCTTCGCCCTGGTCTCTCAAGCGCATACCTCCATAATCGCTGATGATTTCGCAGCCTTTGTTGGACTTCCTGTTGAAGAGGCTGTGAAAGGTATATTAGAACAAGGATGGCAAGCAGACTCCACCACAAGAATGGTTCTGCCTAGAAAGCCAGTTGCAGGGGCCCTGGATGTTTCCTTTAACAAGTTTATTCCCTTATCAGAGCCTGCCCCAGTTCCCCCAATCCCCGATGAACAGCAGCTAGCCAGACTGACCGATTATGTGGCTTTCCTTGAAAACTGATCTATCACCCTGAGTTCAAGATCTACCTTCAGAATCCTGTGTACTGACAAATGTAGAAATGTAAAATTTTTATTTTCAATTTATTGGATGGATGAAGCACCTCAGCATTCCTTACTGATTATGTGATAAAATACATATATAATATAAAGTATATCTATTTTGTCCTTAAATATGCTGGATGGTTGTTGAAACAACTCTCATTTTGTAATATTTAACAATCTGGATGGAGCTTGTCAGTATTATGTGGTTAGTTCATATATTTCCTAGTGACTTATAAAATAAGATCTCCTACTCCATGTAGACCAATGGTTGTCAACTGTCTTTCCCCTGCCCCAGCACATGCCACACTCCTACCTGTACCACTGTTTCACAGGTGTAGTGATTGCTTTGGAGTTTGAGGAGAACTGTCCCCAGGGGCAAGGTCTGAATTACTAAGGATTATGAGACACCCTCTCTGAAGAACATGCTCTCTTTTCTCCTTACCTCCTGTGAATCACTAATGTAGAATACAGAAAGATAGCTGAGGAGCAAATAGATCATTTCCATAGTAAACCAGTTTGTTAACTTTACATTTTTTCCGATAGCGTGAGTACATCCATTGCTGGCAGTGGAAGACTTGCCATGAAAATGCAACTTATTTAATATATTCAAGAGAAGTATTAAGTTGTAGCTCCTTTCAAAAGAAGGGAGAAGTGCAGAATGTACTATAGGGGAAAAGAAGCTATTAAGACAAGCAACCCTCTTTGTACAATTACCTTGCAGCCTGTTGGTTGCTTATATTTATCCCTTGGTTCAAGTTCTGCCCTTTGGAGATATACTAAACAAGTCTTTCATTCTTTGTGTGACAGCCTTGAATATTTAAAGTTGTTTGTTGTATCTTCAGCTTAAAATACCCCTTAGTTCATTTATTCTGCATTTGTTCAATAAATATTTAAGTGAAAAAAAAATACTTATCTCACTTATCTATTTAATCAGAGTGACAGTATAAGATTTTAAAGGCAAATACAAAAGGTTTCATAGCTGTAAAGAAAAACTTAGCCCTGTTGACATTGAGAAGATTGACTTTTTAAAAAAAGTAAACAAAGGTCTAATAAAAGCACAAAGCATAAGAAATTATCTTGATGAAACACAAAATCTTTGCTTTCTAGGAGAATAACCTAAAAAGTAAAGAAAAACTTTTCATTATTTCCTACTGAGAGCAGATCAATACTCCAAGAAAACAGAAAGGACCAAATTCTAGTTATGTCTCAGTGTACTTTTGATATTAATGCTCAATTTTTAGAAAAAACTCATAAATAATTCCCTTCTAATCTTAGCCAGTTTGGTCACGTATAAAATTCCTTTCACAAGACTCATATTCCACATACCTTTTACAACTTTCTTACCCATTCAATTTTTATTCCGTAATTTTCTTCTTTCTTGACTTGGAACAACCACTCTACTTTAGAACAGTAATTGTTCTCTTTTTCCTTTAACAAAAACATATCCTCATACTTTATAACTTTTTAAATAGAACATGCCTTACTTCACTTATATACAGAGTCATTACCTTTTTTATTTCTAGTGTTAATTATCATCTATTAATTAAAATGTTTAACTCTAAGTGATCTTAATTCTAGTGAAAACTCAGGAAGTTAAACAATTTTGAACTATCATTCAGCAGCATTTTATGAATGTATATTTCATAATTTCTAGAAACATGTGCTTTCTCATAGAACAGTTTTTTTGATGTGTACTAAAAGACTCAAATATATCTAGATTCTCTATACCATATAAAAACAAAACAAGATGCCAGGGCTAGGTGGCTCACACCTGTAATCCTAGTACTTTGGGAGGCCCAGGTAGGAGGATCACTTGAGGTCAGAAGTTCGAGACCAGCCCAGGCCACAGGGTGAGGCCTTGTATCAGAAAACAAAAAAATCACAACTGAACAAAAAAAATCCCCCAAACCAAAAAGCCCCCCAGAACTGTAGCTCTTGCTAGTGACTCATTAGCCACCATAAACCCACAGGTCAAGTTCCCTTTTAGAGCACAGACTAACCCTTGTTACCCCAGGTCAAATGCTGTCTTACAGCACAAACTAACCCTGTATTCAAAAGATGATAGGATCAGAGGACTCAACACAAAAAGAGCAGAGTCCCACCTGAGACAAACTTACTTACAACCCTCAGGGCTCCATGAGGGAGACTGGGGACCTCAAAAGGGGTCAACAGTGCCTCTCCTGTTTTCCCCAAGGGCTCTTGGGAATTGTCAGCAGTCTTCTTCAGGTCTTTTTATGTGGCCACCAGAACTGTCAAAGGACAAAATTGCGACAAGTTTAGTTTAATGGTCTTAATTGGCTTTAAGTTGTGGTTCCAGAATTGGGTGACTTTTTGATGTGCTGAGTAGAAGAGGCTGGTTTTATAGACAGAAAAGAGCTGAAGAAAGCAGAACCAAGGCCAGGCGTGGTGGCTCATGCTTATAATCCTAGCACTCTGGGAAGCTGAGGCAGGTGGATCGTTTGAGCTCAGGAGTTTAAGACCAACCTGAGCAAGAGTGAGCCCTGTCTCTACTAAAAAATAGAAAGAAATGAGCTGCACAGCTAAAAATATATATAGAAAAAACTAGCCAGGCATGGTGGCACATGCCTGTAGTCCCAGCTACTTGGGAGGCTGAGGCAGAGGGATCACTTGAGCCCAGGAGTTTGAGGTTGCTGTGAGCTAGGCTGATGTTATGGCACTCTAGCCTGGGCAACAGAGTGAGACTCTGTCTCAGAAAAAAAAAAAAGAAAACAAAAAGCAGATTGATCATTTCAAAGTTACTTTTCTTGTAAAGGTTGAAGCAAATGGGACTTCCTTATCATGCCAGCTAAAACTGTCGTGTTTGGGGATTTGGCTATTATCTCTGTCTTTGGATTTCTCAGAAGGTCAGATAAACATCTTAGTGGCTTGGTGGTGTGGAACTTCAGCATAAGGAAAGTGCAGGAGCTCAGTCCAAACCATTGGCCTTCTATAAATTTTATTTAGCAGCATTTCCTTGTGTTACCTCATGTTGTCCATACAACAACCACCGAGGGAAAGAGAATGATTTATACTAGGCCATATAATGATGGAGAAGGTTTAAAAGTTTTTTTAAATAAAATTTTTAATTATTATGGGTACATAACAGTTGTATATCCTTTAGGGGATGGACACGCTTGAAGCTCTTACTCGAGGGGGGAGGGGGGCATGGGCAATATATGTAACCTTAACACTTGTACCCCCATAATACACTAAAATAAAAAATAATAATTGAAAAAAATTTTCCCTGTCAAGTGAAAAAAAAACCAGTTGTATATCTTTATAGGATACATGTGATGTTTTGATACAGGAATACTATGTGAATTAATCAAATAAGGGTAATTGGGGTATCCATCACCACAGGCATTTACCATTTCTTTGTGTTAGGTACAATTCTAATTTTTTAGTTATTTTAAAGTATACCCTAACTTATTATTGATTGTAGTCACTTTGTTGTGCTATCAAAGACTGTTCTTTCTATCTAATGATCTAACTATATATTTTCACCCTCTATCTCCATGAGATCAATTATTTTTAATATTTAGCTCTCATCTGAATGGGAACAAGCAGGAAATATTCTGTGCTTGGCTTATTTCACTTAACATAACGTTCTCTAGTTCCATCTATGTTGTTGTAAATGGCAGGATTTCATTCTTTTTATGTGGCTATGCAATATTCCATTGCGTATACGCACCACAACTTCTTTATCCATTCATCTATTGATGGACACTCAGGTTGATTCTAAATATTGGCTATCATAAATAGTGCTGCAATAAACATGGGAGTGCAGATATCTTTTTGATATACTGAATTCCCCTCCCTTGGATCTATACCCAGCCGTGGGATTGCTGGATCATATCATAGCTCTATTTTCAGTTTTTGAGGAAACTCCATACTGTTCTACATAGTGGTTGCACTAATTTGCATTCCCAACAATGGTGTATGAGGGTTCCCCTTCGATGGAGAAGGTTTTAAACCCAGGTCTTTCTGATTCCAGAGCCTGTGATTTCCACCACTGCATCATTTTTCCCAGTCTTCTTGGCTCATAAGATTATCATTAGAACTGCAGATTTCCAGGTCTCTTTCTTAGAGATTCTGGGTTAGTCTGGCAAAAAGCCCTGGAATCTTCATTTATATCAAGACCCATAATTGAGTTTAGTGGGCAGACAAATTTACAAGACCCTGCCCTATACTATAATGCCTCTCTAATACTAGGTGATGAAAATAAGCTTTTCTCTTTCCCTAAATTTCTAGTGCTTAACTATTCTAAAAAAGTAAAACCAAATCAGAGCATATCATCTTGTTTGTAATGAGAGGCAAAAGTTTTTATTCAGAAACAAAGGCCAACATCTAGTTATTACCCTTTGTTCCTTCCACATACAGACATAATGAGGTGTCCATCATTCTTGAAAACAAGCTGCCCTCTTCTCCTTATCCTGCTTTTCCCAGCCAAGCTTCTTGAAACAATCACCCACATTCATGGTCTCAATAACTTCCTTGTTGGATTCATATACACTCTTACCTAATCTGACTTTCCGAGAACAAGTCTTAATCCCATTAAAGTTTATCTGAAAATTGCTTAAGTATTTTATCAGGAATGCTCATTTCTTCCCAGAAAGAGGTTGTCAGTGACATCAAATAAAAAGTTCTGCCCCCGATCAGGTTTGGAACAGTTTTTCTTTTGCAATGGCAGCTGATTTTCAAAAGCAAGAAATAATATGTGTCTAAAAGAAATAATAAGCCGAAAGCTGAAACAAACATCTGGAAGGAAAGAGCATGGCCAGATGGGATGAAGTCCAGAAGGAAGAGTGAACAGAGCAGGGGGATAATGGTGAACTATGTCTGACTAAACTCTTCCAGCTCCAGGAGAACAGCAGAGGCTTGATGTTTATGAAATGTATCGAAGGCAAGAACAATCTCTATAATGATCTAACTGTTGATCTTACTATATACATTACTGGGAAGTTACAACTTAACAATTATTTCAATCTCATTTCATTTTACCCAGGTATTTCAGGAGAAAAATTTTAAAAGATTAACACTTTTACTATCCAGAAAAACGTTCTCTTGAGGGGCTCCATCTTATCTTGCTCTTCCAATTCAATGATCTAACATCACCTGGGATCCTGAAATACTATTAATACTATAGCAATTAATGATCTATGGCCCTGTAGTTACTTTGTCCAGCTAAATTAAATATGAGTAAGATTGAATTTCTCTGTTTACACATAAAATGATAAAGTATCTATTATTTCAAAAAAT